GGATTCGAGGGTTCACTTCTGTGGTTCATCTTGCAAGGGTACAAGTGAATCTTTCTATGAGTAGAATATGAATGTTTTGACATAATAACTAAGAAAGCTACATGAAGGCTATATTAACCAGTTTGATGGAAATGTCATGGATTGTGTGTGAAAACACCACACTGTACCCCTAAAGTGCATCAATGTACACAGTTACCATTCAATTAAAAAAAAAAAAAAGTGGGCTGGTAAAGAACAAAGGTCATGGCAGCAGTTTTCTGAGATGCTCAAGGCATTTCGCTTGTTGACTTTCTGGAGGGCCAAGTAACAATAATATCTGTCTATTATGAAAGTGTTTTGAGGAAGTTAGCCAAAGCTTTAGCAGAAAAAATACCCGGGAAAGTTTCCCAGAGATTCCTTCCCCACCACAATCATGCTCCTGCTCATTCCTCTCATCACACTAGGGTAACTTTGTAAGAATTTCAGTGGGGAATCATCAGGCATCCACCTTATAGCCCCGATTTGTCTTCTCCTGACTTCTTTTTGTTTCTTAATCTTAAACATTCTTTAAGGGGCATCCATGTTTGTTTGGTTTTTTGTTTGTTTTTAGTTAATAATGTAAAAGAAACTACATTAACATGGTTAATTTCCAGCAGTGCTGGTAGCTCAGTGGGTAGGGTGCTGGCCAGATACACTGAGGCTGGCGGGTTTGAATCCAGCCCAGGCTAGCTAAAACAACAATGACAACTGCAACAACAACAAAAAAATAGCTGGGCGTTATGGCAGGCGCCTTTAATCCCAGCTACTTGGGAGACTGAGGCAAGAAAATCACTTAAGCCCAAGAGTTTGAGGTTGCACTCTACCCAGGGCAACAGCTTGAGACTATGTTTCAAAAAAAAATTTTTTTTTTTTTCTAGGACCATCAGTTCTTTAAAGATAGACTAAATGGCTGGTATCATTGCTTATAAGTATCTTGATCAGCAGTTCTCAACCTGTGGGTCATAACCCACAGGAACTGTATTAAAGGGCCGAGGCATTAGGAAGGTTTAGAACCACTGATCTTGACTGTGATGGAGTCCATGTTGAGAAATAAAGCTTATATTTTTAATTTTTATCTTTTAATTCCATTTTTCCATGAACTTTTTGAAGTCCCCTCATATGTAAAGAAATCAAACAGTTTAAAGTCTGAATACATCCAAAACTTCAAGTGAAATCAGAAAAAAGTTGAAAAGAAAAACCCTGATAACATAACAACAGAATATACTGATATTTACCCAGCTCGTCTTGACAGAAGCTTTCTGGAGGATTGATATACTTCATGGTGCTCACGTCTAACTTCCAGTTGTGCTTTGTGCATCTAACAGACCTGCGTGAAAAATAGTATTTAGGTTTCTAAAATGGTAAAGATAAAAGTTAATACTGATTAGGCTTTGATGCATTACTTTAGAATAAAATTAAATTAATTATGATGGCATTAGGTGGGTGAACACAAAATACATGAAAGAAAAACTATCAATAGCTAATATTCAAATATCTAGGGAAATACAAACTAACCATCAATAGGTGGTTTAAAAAAAGAAGATAAACTCCATGTCACAAAATGACACATTAGAGATCAGCAGAGACAATGGAATAAAATAGTCTTGGGAAACAGCTGTCTTAGGAAAGTCAACCTAGAGGAGATCCCCGTGGAGCCAGTAAAGGGGAAGACTGTAGTCGTCAACACATATCTGTGACTGACACTCACTCTGCCATCCTTCACCTCTAGAATAGGGTTCAACTACAGTTTTCATATTTCAAAGAAAAGATTTCATTATAGTTTAAAGTTTCAGACCAGAGTCACAAGATAAAACACAGGATGCTCAGATAAATCTGAATTTCAGATAAACAACAAATAATTGTTCAATATAAGTACATGTCACACAATGTTTGAGACATACTTATTCTGAAAATGTGTTGTTTAGCTGTAATTTAAATTATTTAACTGAATGATCTGTTAACTCCAGCCACCGTGTTTCAGAATGAGAACCAGACCGTAACAAACAGGATGCTTAGTGCCTCTTTCCCCCACGTTTCTTTTCAGATCTTCAAGGGAGTTGGGGTAGTTGGAGGTGAAGTATAAACAATTCTATTTCTTGTCTTTATTTTAGTAGCATTTTTGGTGACATTTCTGTTGTTTGGGTTTCTTTTTAAGAATTAAATAATTTTTTTTACAAAGAAATATGTCTCAAACCAGATACATCAACTTTTTAAAAACTAAAAACATCTACTTTAACATATCAGTGAATCATGCTGACTTTTCTGAGTTTTATTATATCTCGAATTTCTTATGTTCTTTCCTAGTTACAAGGCAAAAAATTATGAAGGATCATTTTGCAACACCTGCTGTATCATCAGTGAGTACCCAACAGCCTTTTAGTAATTAAGATAGAACATTCCAGCTGCAGCTATTTAGTATACTGGGCCATAAAGGGGGAAACTAGAAGAAGTATGCGCTGATGGGGGGCAGACAGACAGGTGGGAGAACACAACTTCAAAACTGTTAGACTTTAAAAACTAGAAGCTGTGGTTGTGTCATTTTGGTTATGAGTCAAGCGGATAAATGACTGGTAGAATAGAACTGTAGGTCCCTGTTCTTGATGGGAACCTGGAAAGTGAAAAGACAGTTTTTCCATATGAATAGCTACAAAGACATCCAAGCAGAAGTAAGCAAATTCAAAGAAGCAGACGTGAGAGTATGAGTTACCAAAGGTATGCAGTCTCAACATACCAGTTGCTTACTGAGCTATATCAACGCAATGGCAGAACTTGGTTTTCTCATATATAGGGAAGCTAAGAGAACTGGGCTTGCCTATCAACAGAGGACAGTAGAACGAGTATCAATCACCCCCAAGGTTTTGTATGAAAGAGAGAAAGGCTAGTCGATGATAAAGCTTCTGGGTACACCCAGATGAGCAAACCAGATACAAAAACAATGTGCGTTCCTATAAATATTCCCTGTACATGGCTACCCAAGAAGCTCATAGCATAGAAATAATAACAGCAACTATAATCCACTTCTATTGGGTGCTCCCCATATGGCATTCTTTTAAGTGTTTTTTTGCGTTTGGCACCAGGTAATCCTCTCAGCAACCTGATAAAGGAGGTAATATTTTCATCTTCATTTTACAAATGAGAAGATGGAGGCCCAGAAAAGGAAATTTTTCCAAGATTATTACTGAGCTGGCAAGTGGTTGAGCCAGATATCTTAGCCAGACAGTCTATAGGGATAATGATGCCCTTAGCCACTAAGTTTTGACACCTCCTTAAATGGCTGGCTAAGGGGACACTGTGTGAAAGAGCTCACTAAGGAGAGAAACAAAGCACAGAAAACCAGTTTCAAGACTGCAATCCTTGGAAGAGAAAACTCAAGGCCCTGGAGTGCTGGCAGAGTGCCAGTTACAGAACCGTGCCTGAGCATCCCTGCCTTGAATGCACTGAGCCGATGGAAGCTAATCAAAGCAGGCTGCCAGCAAATTACCTAGATGTTCTCTAAGAGTTGTCAGTTAAAAATGGATGTCTCAGGCTCAGTGCCTGTAGCTCAGTGGTTAGAGTGCCAGCCACATACACAGGGCTGGTGGGTTTGAACCCGGCCAGGCCTGCTAAACAACAACGACAACAACAACAACAACAAAAATAGCCAGGCATTATGGTGGGCACCTGTAGTCCCAGCTACTTGAGAGGCCGAGGCAAGAGAATAGTAAGCTCGAGAGTTTGAGGTTGCTGTGAGCTGTGACACCACAGCTAACAGTGACACAGTGAGACTCTGTCTCAAAAAAAAAAAAAAAAGATGTCCCATTAACTAATTTGGACATATTTATAGTGTAAATATACTCATTGTTTATCTAAAATGCAAATTTAACTGGGAATCCTATTTTTTTATTTTCCAATCTGGCAGCCCTGTCTGATAAGCTAAGCAAGCTATAGAGGCAATAATGGTTAGCATTTAAAAATCTAATAATATTTGAGTCTAAACCCTGAAACTAGCTATGCAGTGAAGCAAATCTGTGTGCAGGTGTGAGAACATTCTAAACTTGGGCAACTGTCTTCTATACAATTATAGCAGGAAACTCTTGTACAACCCCAGCTCCCTCTGGGTGTACTAGTACTTAACTGTCCACAAATGACCTGAAAAATAAGATAGATAATGCAGAGGAAGAAAAAAGCCTAACACCAAATGACTAAAACCATTTAGATTAAGTAAGGTTAAAGTAAAGGTTGAAAGATGGGGTTAACCACCCCCAGCATGACTGGTGTTGTGCCCTAGGGCCTTTCCGGATTCTGCTAGGCAGTATCACCATCTCGTAGCAGTCATTGAAAACAGAAACTAAAACTTGTTTAATCTTATTCTGTTATTGTGGCTGCACTGGGGAGACTTAATCTATATGGTAGGGGGCAGATTAGTTCTTCTAAGAAGTGAACAGAAGAGCTGCTATTCAGGGTGGAGGCAGTTAGGACTCTGCTGTTTTTGTTTTCTAAATACAACTAGGCTTCCAGGAAAATTCTGTCTGCTTTGAGGCAGGGTTTGGAAAAGTGCCACCCTGCACGCGCGCACACACACACACACATTTCTGAGGGAGCAGGGAAGGAAACTTTTAGGAGGAGGCTTGGGTCTTTGAACACAAAATCAGGTATATGTGTGCCTTCTCTCCGGATACAGACACTCACACTCACACACACAAACACATGTCACCTAGAGGTTTTATTAACTATCAGACTAAAATAAATTTTAAACTCGAGTTCTTATGACAGAGAGGAAGATGTAGCAAAACCCACAATGTCGAGATCAGACAGGTGTCCTAAATGAGGAAAAGGTACAAAACTAACTAGGGGAAGTCATATGCCAATTGGTTCATTTCAAATTTCTAGATGAACACATTTCCTGTCAAATCTAATTCAAAAAAAGAGTCCCCGGGGAGAAAGCAAAAGACTCTTGGTACCTTCCATCTAAGTCCTCGATATCTTTTATGAACAGGCCTCCTTGGTGCTTGCACATGTTCTTGCATGCTCTCAGGTGGCACCTGTCCTTGTATAAGATGTAGTCTTTGCCAGTGCTCTTATTTCGGAAGAAATTGATTCCTTCCTTAAGATTGGCAACCTCAAGTGGTGACAGACAAAGCAGGATCTCAGCTCTTTGTTCAACACTATGAAAAAACAAACATTTTTGAGAGGTAAGATTAATAATGTTAGATTTTAAGAGAATCATTTCGAACTGACAGCTCAAAACCCCTTTTCATTGAAATACTTTCGCAGCCCCTCCCTCCAAGTCCCCAGGCGGGGTGGCTGTCCCCTTTCTCCCTGCCTTTACTGTATGTAATTATATATCCTCCTTGTGGAATGTCCCTCTCCACTCTGCTAGAGAACTAACACCCCTCTTACTTGCCTGCCCGCAGTCTGCCGGCTTCTCTCTGAGGGCATTTGGACAGAAAAACAGAGGCTCTTTGCGCTTGTCTTGCTCATATGTTCCCACTAGTTGGCCTGGAGAGAGAACGTTCACTCCAGCTTACTATTTCCGTTGACACTGTTCCGCCCGCTACCACACCTCTTTGAAACGCCTAACACTATTCGGAAGCCACTGTATTCTCCCCCTCTTTTCCAGACTTTCCCACCATCTGGATTTCCCCCTGCCTGCAACACAGCTCCTTCCTCACCCTCACCACGCAGCATCAGCCTTGCTCAAGCACAACTGAGTTATCCCCGGCGTGGTTGAGCCTTCGACTAAGATGGTCCAGTCTAACATCCCGAGGGCCCTTCTCTGCTCTGTAAAACGTTATGAGGCGGTGCCTGACACCCTGCCCGTTCACTCACACGCAGCCACTTTAGAAAAGCACTCTGCATCTGCTCTGGTCTTCTCTCCCAACCAGTCCGCAGACTGCCGGTCCCCGATCCTTTTCCAGGCTAGTTCCTCTCTACTTAATTAACCTCCTCCCTCCCCCACCCCACTCCCGCAACTGCTCTCAATTTCACTAACTTACAAAAAGCGCCAACAGAAAAGGATTTCACGTTTTACCTTGAAAAAAACACGTCACATTTCTCAAACCCCAATCTCTAAACAGACTCTCTTTATAATGCAACTCTGGGTCGTAATCAAATGTAATTTTTGCCAGGAAGGGTTTCAAAAAATCGCCTGCAAACCGGCGATATGAAATCTGGCACATGTTGTTTAATTTTACATTCTACTTCAAAGAAAAAGTGTCCCAAATTCTCTAAAAGTGTTAAAATTGATTTGGAGCCCAAGCACACTTGTGGCATTTTTACTTTCATTTCAAGAAGTACTGCGCATTTCTTAAATGGGATACAAATAATTTTTAAAAACATAGAAAGGCAGGGAAGAACAGAAAAGTTAATTCTAGTTTTAAACCTGTGAAGGCATAGCCCAGTAATTATGATCCATTTCCTGAAAAAAGAAATGTTACCTCTGCCCCAAATTTCTGGTAATTCTGTTCACAATAGACTTGAAATTATTCAAAAAAATATATTTCAAGTGTATCAGATAGGAATGAATCCAGTCTAAATTTTGTGACTTTCTTTTTTGACTTTGTTCTTACGAGTGCAAATATCTGACACCAAGTCAAAGTAAACACCGAGGCAATTCCTGCAATAATTATTCCAAAAGTATAAAAGGCTAGTTTGTTTTACTTGATTGAATGGATTATATAGCCAGAGTTCTGCGTTAGACTATAAGCTGTTTGATGCTCCATGTAAAGCATGTTGAGCTAACTACTTTGTTTTCAGTTGCATGTGAAGTCACATTGGAGCAGAAGGCAAAAGAAAAAAACTGTGTGCTCCTCTATATGGGTTTTATGGGTTTGTTTTTTGGTTGGGGGTTTTTTGTTTGTTTTGAGACATTGACTCACTTTGTTACCCTGGTACAGTGCGGTGGTGTCATAGCTCACAGCAACCTCTAATCTTGGGCTTGAGCACCTCTTGCCTCAACTTCCCAAGTAGCTGAGACTATAGGCTTGCGCTACAATGCTCAGCTAGTTTTTTTCTTTTTATTTATTTATTTAATTAGTTATTTTCTGAGACAGAGTCTCACTATGTCACCTTCACTATGGCATCACAGCTCACAGCAACCTCCAACTCTTGGGCTTAAGCAATTCTCTTGCCTCAGCCTCCCAAGTAGCTGGGACTACAGGTGCCTGGCACAATGCCTGCCTATTTTTTTTTGTTATAGTTGTCATTGTTGTTTGGCAGGCCCCAGCTGGGTTGGAACACACCAGCCTGCATGTATGTGGCTGGTGCCCTACCCACTGAGCTATGGGTGCTGCCCATATTTATTTATTTTTATTGTTGGGGATTCATTGAGGGTACAAAGAACCAGGTTACACTGATTGTATTTGTTAGGTAAAATCCCTCTTATAATTGTGTCCTGCCCCCAAAAGGTGTGTCACACACTGTGACCCCCCCCAACTCCCTGCCCTCCTTCCCTCTCTCTGTTCTCCCCTCATTCCCCACCATGTACTAAGTCATTAATTGTCCTCATATGAGAAATACATGAGAGTACATAGAATTCTTGTTTCTCCATTTTTGTGATGCTTCACTAAGAATAATGTGTTCCACTCCCATCCATGTTAATACAAAGGATGTGAAGTCTTCATCTTTTTTAGTGGCTGAATAGTATTCCATGGTATACATATACCACAGCTTGTTACTCCATTCCTGGGTTAGTGGGCATTTGGGCTATTTCCACATTTTGGCAATTATAAATTGAGCTGCGATAAATAGTCTAATGCAAGTGTCTTTATGGTAAAAGGATTTTTTTTTTCTGGGTAGATGCCCAGTAATGGGACTGCAGGATCAAATAGGAGGTCTAGTTTGAGTTCTTTAAGAGTTCTCCATACTTCTTTTCAAAAAGTTGTATTAGTTTGCAGTAGCACCAGCAGTGTAAAAGTGTTCCCTTTTCATGATTCAGCAATTGTGCTCATTGGTACTTACCTAAAGAAGTTAAAAAGTTACATTCGCACAAAAACCTACATACAGATGTTTGTAGCAACTTTATTCATAATTGTCTAAACTTGGAGGTCATTGAGATGTTCCTCAATAAGTAAAAGAATAAATATACTTGCTACATCTAGTCAATGGATTATTATTTAGTGCTACAAAGAAATGAGCAATCAAGCCATGAAAGACATGGAGGAAACATATATGCATATTACCAAGTGAAAGAAGCCAATCTGAAAAGACTGTATATTCTATGATTCCAACTATATGATATTCTAGAATTGATGGTCATATCTTCTTTTTCATTCTTGATGTTTGTGATCTGTGTTTTTCTTTTTATCTTCATCATCCTATCTAAATGTTTTGTCAATTTTGCTGATTTTTTAAACTGATTTTTCTGTTGTTTCCATTTTTTTTGTATTCATTTGTTTCTACTCTATTATTTTTTAGGTTTAGTTTGCTCTTCTTTTTCTAGATCTAAATTTGGAGGCCAGATTATTGTCTTAAGATCTTTATTCTTTTCTAATATAACCATTTAAATATATAAATTTGCCTCTATGTCATGCTTTAGCTGTATTCTGTGTAATGTGACCCTTTCTGATTATAACTCTCTCCCCCATTAAGGATATGTACTGCTCTGTTCTCACTTTGGAAAATAATATACTTTAGTTTACCTGATGAAAAAAATGTATTTGAATTATATTACATTACATATATTTGTGGGTATGTGTTATGTGTAAAATTCACTCCTTCTATGCAGCATTGTGTTTGGACAATGGTGTATGTTGCTACAAGTAGTCTTAATTGGTTTATTTACATTTATGTATTACATTTCACAGCATGATATTTCACTGTTATAGTGCATAATTTATTTATTTAATATATATAATTTATTGTTTTATTGTTGATGTACATTTGAATTGTTTTCAATTTGGGGCCAATATGAATAATGCTGTGATATACATTCCTGTATATATACCTTGGAGAACATATGTACACAGTTCTTTCATGTTAGGACTTAGCTAGGAGTAGAACTGCTATATCACAGTATACGTGTATTTTCTATTTTACTAGAGATTGCTACACTATTTTCCAATGAGATTGAACAACACTGCATTCCCGTTAGTAATGTGTGAGATCTTCCACACTGCCCACCTGCAATACTTTCAGTTGTTTTAATTTTAGTTATTCTGGTAGATTTAGTGTATCACATTGTGGTTTTAATTTTCACTTCCCCAGTTACTAGGGAGGATGGTATGTTACATGCCTCCTTTCTTAAATGTTTTTGTTAGAAAAGGATGTTGAATTTTGGCTTACCTGTAGCTCAGGGGTTAGGACGCAGATCACATACACTGGGACTGGTGGGTTTGAACCTAGCCCAGGCCTCTCAAACAACAATGACAACTACAACAACAACAACAACAAAAAATAGCCAGGCATTGTGGCTGGCACCGGTAGTCCTAGCTACTTGGGAGACTGAGGCAAGAGAATCACTTAAGCCCAAGATTTTGAGGTTGCTATGAGCTGTGATGACAAAGCATTCTACTGAGGGTGAAATAGTGAGACTCTGTCTTAAAAAAAATTGAAAGAAAATGAGGTTGAATTTTATCAAATGCTTTTTCTGTATCTATTGAGAGGATCATATGGTCTTTATTTTTGCTTCTATTGATATGGTGAATTACATTTATGGATTTGGATATGTTAAAACAACCTTATATCCCTGGGATGAAGCCTACTTTATCATGATGTATAACTTTTAATGTGTAGCTATAATCTATTTGCTAAGCTTCTATTGTGTATTTTTTGCATCAATATTTGTTAGTGAAATTATCTCCTTTTTAGTTGGGCCCTTTCTTGGTTTTGGAATCAGGGTGATGTTTGCTTGTAAAACATGTTGGGGAAGGTTTCTTCCTTCTCAGTGTTTGGAATAGGTTCTGCAGTATGGATACAAGCTCTTCTTTGAAAGAGCTCTTCTTTGAAGAATTCTGGTGTGAAGCCATCTGGTTCAGGGCTTTTTTTATTGTGGTTCGAGGCCTTTTTGTTGTTGTTGTTGGGATCTTTTTATTGTTTCTTCAACTTCAGTGTTTGATATTGGTCTGTTAAAGAGATCTATTTCTTCCTGGTTAAGTCTAGGGAGAGGGTATGTTTCCACATATTGGTCCATTTCCTCCACATTGTAAAATTTCTGGGCACAGAGTTT